AAGGTCAAGAAAGCAGAAAAAGGGCACTGCAGGCCATGGCCCACTAGGACTGTTGTGCCACTGAATTTTTTAAAAAATAGTTTCAATAAACACATGCCATTAGAAAATTCCTTTTTTAAAAATTAGGTTTATTTAGAAAGGAGTTATCGATGTGCTGTTTGAGAGGTTCTAAAGAAGGTGAACTCCAGGCCATTCAGACAATTCTGAAGTGGCCTAAGATATGGAAAGGAGGAACATTGGGATGGGGCAGATGGGATGACAAAAACATCTCAGCCAAACTCAGTTAAGTTTCTGTCTGACATACTGTAATGATGGAAGATAACACTTCAACGATTGGGTAATTTGGGACACTGTTTCTAATTCTGCTTTTAAAAATGCTATTTGAGAGCAGTATTTTTCAGATTCATTGTTTGATTTGGTGGCAACTATTCAATTAATTCAACTATTCATTCTATTGTACAATTACACTGTAATTCTATTATATTTTAAACATTACATTTTGGGGATACAGCCCTTTCTTGATGTTACAAACAACATTCTTTTGGCTTACTACAGGATCTTTTCCTTGCAATATTATTGTACAGTATTTACTTCTCATTTCCAGTAATAAGCTATTTTATAAAAGGTGCTTCTTTATTTTTTTCCAATAAAGAATGAAATGCCAAAATATGAGCAGGCATATTCTGCTCTGTCAAAGTATGGGATGGCCACGCATTGTAGCAGCTTGCACACTCGGTTTTCTTCAAATGATCACCATATACTGTATTTCTTAAATTTATTCTGTCTGATAGTTCCTCAATTGTATAACTTAGATTTTCAGCAAGAACATCTTTTAATGGGTCCTTGCTTACACAGGATGGTTGTCACTGGCACCTGTAATCACTGGATCAGAATCCAACATAAGAATGCTTACAAATAAACAAATAAATAAATAAAATAGTAACAGCGAGCTATTAACTGCTTTTGGAACTGCTGGAGAAAAGAATATCTGTTACAGCTCTATACTGCATATCGAGTCACTCAATCAGAATCCTCATCATTTAAAGTTGGTGATGTAGTGCTGATCCATGACAAAATGTTGCCGAAGCATCTTTGGAAGTGAAGATACATTAAAAAGCTATATTTAGGATGTTATTCAAAGGTTATATTCTGTGTGCTTCAAACACCAACAGGACTTGTAAACAGACCAATTCAATAAATATAAAAATTTAAACTGGATTAATGGATCAATATTTGAAAGGACAGTCATAAAATTACTTGCATTTTTTTTTCATTTTATTTATTCATATAATTCACTTATTATTTTTATTATTCTAGATTTCAGCTTTGTATTGCATTTTGAATTTGAATATTTCTTTGCATACTGTAAGTAAGTATACCTTAGTGGTATTTTATTGTTATCCAAGATATTGAAATACCTACTTTGAAAATGTTGAATTTTGTTATATTTTGAATTAATTATTTTCTTTTAATGATGTTGACAATAGTGACTGTTAATCCAGGGGCAGTGTGTTGTGTAGATTTGGCTGTTAGGCAGTGCTAAAGCGCATATCTGATTTTGCATATTTTTGTGCCAACCCTGTTACATTTTGTTTTTAGAACTGTTTTCTACAACTGACTGAGTAATACTAATGTTGAACTCTCATTTTGAAAGTAATTTAAAATGGGCAATATGTTGCAAATAAATTTCATAACCAGGCAGTGTGTTGATTTATTTGCATATTGAAACTGATTTTTTTTTAACTATGCTTATGGTAAGCATTCTGATACAGTCAAAAGTCATTAATTCGGACACCCATTATCCGGAATGATCTATAATCCGGACACCCATAATCCGGAATGATCTATAATCTGGACCTCAAAGCTACAAACTTTCTATGCGCATGCGTCGGATGCATGCGCATAGGCGTTTACGCGTGCACAAAAGACCTTTACAGTTGCAAATATGCATGTGTGCATGCACGTTTAATGTATGACAGACCGTATAAGCTCAGCTAAAATTATCTAATTCAATTAATGTTGCAGATTGCGTTGTTCCTCAATCTTTGAATTGGATCCGGCTTATTATTTTTTGCAGACTGTTAGAGCAATTTTATAAAAGTAAGCTTGAACTTTCGATTATGTCAAATAAAATTTCTGATATATATTTACTAATATGTAAAGGATCTACAAAGCGAAAGTATGTTTCAAAATCTGTTTATCAATTTCACGCTGCTCTGCGACAGGGGGGGGGGACGCTGTGGCGCGTAATGAATTGGAACTTGATCTGTCAGCACTATCCTTATCTTCACGGCAGATGTTTTTATTTTATTTGGCTTATATTTCCTTACTAAATGTAGTATTTCATCTCGATGTTCTGTCTTTGATATGATTTAAAGTAATTATAGGACTTGAACAGCGGAACTTTGTAACTAAACAAAAAATTATGTCTGTTTAATAGAATTAAAGAGAAAGTATTATCACATGAAACGAAGCAACTTAAACAACTTACGTTGAAAGAATTGTTTAATAAAGTAAACAAATAAATATTAAGCTTTTTCTTTTTGTAAATTTTGATACCCTTTAAATCACAATTGTTCTTTATTTCATAAATTACGATGCACGTTTAATGTATAAAGGATGGTATAAACTAAGCTAAAATTATCTATTTCAGTTAATGTTGCAGACTGCGTTGTTCCTTAATCTTCTAATCAGATCCAGCTTATTATTTTTTGCAGACTGTTAGAGCAATTTTACGAAAGTAAGCTTGAACTTTCGATTATGTCAAATAGAATTTCCGATTCTGGAGCTGCCGAAGGATCTATAAAGCGAAAACATGTTTCGATGTCCATTAAGCAAAAAGTGGAATTGCTGCAAAAAATGGATAAAGGCATGAAGAAAGTGACAGAGAGGTGATTTGTTTCTCTAACCATTCCGAAATCTGTTTATCAATTTCACGCTGCTCTGCGGGGGGGGGGGGGGTGGACGGATGTTGCGGTGCGCAATGAACTGGAAGTTGATATGTCAGCACTATCCTCATATCCTCATCTTCAGGACAGATGTTTTTATTTTATTCCGCTTATAATTCATTACTAAATGTAGTATTTCATTTCGATGTACATTGTTTTCGATATGATTTAAATCAAATTCATTATAAATATCACGAATACACATCAAATAGTTTTCTGGTTGCAATTTTCTAACTTTGACTATGCGTAATGTGTGCTTTACGCATGCGCGCGTTGAAAGAAATGTTTAATAAAGTAAACAAATAAATATTAGGCTTTTTTTTTTTTTTTTTTTGTTTTTTGTAAATTTTGATACCCTTTAGATCATAATTGTTCTTTATTTCATAAATTACGGTTTCATATTTTTAACTCTGTAATTTCCGCATGCCATCTTACCAGATTTAAACTGATGATCTATAATCCGGAATCGCTGAAGTCCCGACGAGTCCGAATTAACGACTTTTGACTGTACTAATCTGCTTTTGAAGTGCAAATGGCACTTCACAAACTGCTTTCAAACTGTATCATCAAAAACAGCACTTCTACCATACACTGCATAAATTTTATGAGCAGTCTGATTAGTACCTTTTTCTTTTCTTTTCTTTTTTTTTTTTTTAATGAAAGAGCATAAAATGAATGTTTGGGTTCTCCATTCTCAGCGATGTGCTGAACCAAAAATTATGTCACAACACATGCTATGCAGTTGTGAGTTAAAAAGACCATATTTAAACATGTGCTTTTGACAAAGTCATTCCGCCTCAGCAATAACAATATAATTAGTAAAAAACAAACTTTGATTTGAAAACAAAAGAAATTTTGTGATGACATAGTAAAATTAACATAGACTAGTACTTAGACAGCTACTCACATATTAATGAAAAACAAGGTTTTTTTTTATTACAAATGCTTTATAATATGAGCAGCAAATTTAATTTAACAGAAGTGCTTTATAATATGAGAATATTAAAAAGTACCTTTAGTATGAAATATGTATTTAGAGAATTTAACTTAAATAAAAAAAAAAAAAATAGAATAAATTTCATTTATACATAATGCACTACAATACCAATAGTTACTAGTCACAGTAATGTAGAAAAGCTATTTTCTATTTTTACTACGTTTCAATATTTTCTTAATATTACTGCATACGAGCTACTTGGACTTATCCCTCAAGGAAAAGAATAGTAAAGAAAACATAGCCATTATTTATACCTCTAAAGCAATGAAGGAAAAAATATGTGTAAAAGGACTGAACCTGCACTGATTTCTATTCTCATATATAAGCAAAATTAATAAAACATAAAAAATAATAAAGCACAGATTTATAACTTTTGTTACTCAACCACTGATTTTTTAATTCTTCAAGTTTTAATTTAAGTAATTAATTTTTCAAGTTTTTTTAATTCTAATGTAGTGTAAATATACACATAACTACACAAATGTAGTATAACTTAACTAGTAAAAATGTATAAAAAATATATGCATATCTACACAATTTTATACAGTACAAGGTCCATAATCCGGACTCGTTGGGACTTTGACAATTCTGGATTAGGGGTTTTCCGTATTATAGGTCATCAATTTAAATCTGGTAAGATGGCATGCAGAAATTATACAATTAAATATATGAAACTGTAATTTATGGAATAAAGAGCAATTATGATCTAAAGGGTATCAAATTTTACAAAACAAAACAAAAAAAAAGCTTATATTTATTTGTTTACTTTATTAAACATTTCTTTCAACGTGCACATGCGTAAAGCATACATTACATGCATGCGTAATGTATGCGCATCACTAAAGTTTGTGGCTTTGAGGTCCTGATTATAGATCATTCCAGATAATGGACGTCCGGATTACAGACTTTGTACTGTATAAAAACACTATCAAATACTGAATGAATCAGTATGGATTATTAAAATACACAGTAGTCCTGGCTAATTAGACAATCATTACCAAAATATTTTATTAAAATACATTTAAAAATAACCCTGCTATAAAATAATATTTTACCATTTTAATGCTTCTGAAATGCGAGTGATTCCTTTCATGTGATGAGTGATAGCTTTTCTGAATTCAGCTTCTGCTTTTTTAAAGGCTGATACAGTTTTCGAACATGATTTTTGCATATTCTATGACACACACACACAAAAATTAATTTTTGAACAAACATTTATCACATACAAATCATTAAAATTATAATTTAGCATAAAATTAATAAATGAAATTTTATTTTACATATCATATTTATAGATAGCGCAAATACTTTATTTTCTTATGTTGTGATCCTACTCAGTTACGAAGTCTCTTATTTACATAACTTCATGAAAATATTTCCAGCCCTAAAGTAGACTAGTTTTTAAAATACAAAATTAAAATTTTTACAAGTATTAAAGAGAGCCCATAGTAAAACATTCATTATGGTTTATTTGATCAAACATAAAAAGTTCCATAATTTTACATGTAAAATTCATGAAGCTATCATGAAACAAATTTAACGAGTTAGATCACTTTTTAACATATATTTTTGATTCAACTTAAATATTCTCTCTCTCTCTCTTTTTTTTTTTTTTTTTTTTTAAAGTTCACACATCAAGTTTGCTTTGGCAATCAGTGAAACAAATAAAGCAAAATAGTCCTAGTACTGACCCAACATATTATAGCCTGCTTATATTTTAGTGAATTTTGCGTTTATAAAATACACAATACTTTCTATTTAACTATCTAGTATGTAATAAACATTTTTAAAATCATTTTATCTCAAGTGCTGAAATTATGTTCAGAAAATATTCTACTTGTTTTGAGAAACTTTGTAATTGGAAGTAGATATTTAAGGCTAATATTTAAGGAAATAAAAACTGAAACCACATTTCCAAACACTGGCACATGGAATGTACAGACACCAATCTGAGTAAAACATAAGTGACTCTGACCTTATGTTTTTTGGTACTTGCATATTATCTCATTGATCATGAAAGTTGGCTACCACCAAACCATGAAAGTTCACACAGATGCAGCTAAAGTTATGCGAATTGTGCTGCAGAATTTTGAGACATTTCCTTCTGCAGCTCTTACAATAAAATATCAGTCCCTCTGTACACTTTGGAAAACAGCCACTGCTGCTGAATCATTTGACCTACTTCGTTTTTGCACTTCGCAAAAGGGCTTTCTTCAATTTCTACTGCTTCATTAGAACCTCCGATTTTACAGGAAAGTCTGCTTAGAACGCTAGGAGTACAAACTTCCCATAGGTGATTGTTCCATCTATTATGTATTTTGTCAACCATATGTAGCTGTTTTTCCACCAAACAAATGTTAATTATCTTGACAACTGCAAATGAACCAAAGTGTGTTCACAAATGAGATTTTACAACCTTCAAATGCTTTTCAAAATGCAAGGAAAAAATATTGCAAAAACAGTTAATTTATACCTTTGTGTGTAAAAACAGAAATTCGTATCAAGAATAAAATATACTGTGAATTAGTCGGGGTTATGTGAAATGAAAGTGCAGAAGTTATGAGTTTGTTACATGAGTTAAACTGTTTGTGTATGTCATGCTTATGCCTAGTTAGAGCTAAATCATGCTGCTTGGTGAAAGATTCATGATCAACAACATAATATGTAAGTACCTGTTTTTTAAAACAGCATTAATATTTTCTTAAAACTGATTGGTGAAATATTTATCCCTTCTTATGTAATAACAGCCTATTGTATTACAAATCAGTGCATTTGTGAGCTTATACTTCATAAACTTAAGATATCACAGCTATACTACGCAGCAAAAAATTAAAATGTATATGTTATTATTTCTTAAATGAAACAGATACTAAGCTCTAAGCAGAAATATAGAGTTTTGTGGAAATTTCCTAAAACTGAAGTTGATCCATTTTCAAAACTGAATTACTAGCAACTGATTAATATATCTGATTTGCATGTTGATTTGGTACTGTTCTTTTATCAGGGGACCGGATTCAGAAATGTGTGTATGTATGTATAAATGTATGTGTTCATATATGCATGTATATGTGTATGACATACATTTCTGAATCTAGTCCCCATAACAGAACAGTACCGTTAATTTTTTCTGCAAGGTGGAAGGCCTCTGTTTAGAAGAATTCTTATGTGAAAGAAACTGGTGGCATATTAGGCTTTGATTAGTTGCTGATGTAAAATTTATGCCTGTGAATGATAGTTTCTTCACATGTTATTTTTAGTAATAAAGGAAAATTTTTTGAAATCCTGCACATTTCCTGAATTTCAAGAAGACAGTAACATAATGCAGGCTAAAAGGAAATAAAATTGTGTATAGTTTTTATAAAAGCTTACTACAAGATTAATTTTAACCAACACTTTTTGTTTACGTTAAAATATGTTCTGTACTCCTGTCATTTTGTCTGCTTCTACCAGAATAAGTGAATGAGAGAAGTTTTAAATAAAATGATAATTTAAAATAAGGAAGGAATGGCATCAGCTGTCTCACTCTAAAGCAAATTCCTCTTGTATAGCTGACACAAGCAGGAAAACTTCTGATCTGGTGTGTTTCACTTTTGGTATATTAGGTAATTAATTTTAGAAATTTATTGTGTCAGATATTAGGATAGAATTTATCTTGTGATTTTAGGTAATCTGACTTTATATGTTGTCTGCTGTTCTGTAAGCTGCTGGTAAACTGCTTTCTTATTCTCGAAATTTATTGCAATTTTCAATTCTGCCTCAAAGCATCAACATGCTTTAACTATTTGTATAAAGCAAAGTATTATTTAGATGTGTTTGTAAATCCATCTTTAATGTTAGAGTGAATGCTTTGCAATTATTTTACTACACAAAATGACTGAAATTTGTAGGTTATTTAAATTTTGGAAATGTAAGATTGCAAGGATTGTCTCTATAGTCCAGTTAACATAAAAAATACTCATTATATTTAAATTATGTTAAAAGTATAAAGCTAAGCTATAAAAGACAAGAAAATTATGCCTTTCGCATTGGAGTCAAAATTTATACTAATACTTTAAGCTAATTTTATATTCCTTATTCTTTACTTTAAACTAGTACCACTTTTATTTACTGACAATAAGATATCATAATACATGTCAAATAATGGTATATTCCAAATAAGGTTTAAAAATTACTTCCAGTTCAGGGAATGTTTTGTTCAACTCATTCCATTCTTCAACAATACTTGATAAGCCATCAACCTTTTCCTCCATGGTCTAGGTAATACTGAAAAATGTTAAAAAAATTAATAAAACATAGAAAATTTTTAAGATCTTAAAAAATGATATTTGATGAGAAAAAACAATATTTGTGTAAAAGAAATATAACTGGAATATCATAAACGTATATAAGAAATGGAAAGTTCTCCAATACATGTAACTAAAATGACTACTTATATTAAATTTCTATTAAAAAATTCTATTATTCAAATATTAAGGTACAAGATATTCCCTATTTAAGGACATTTATTTTAATTATGTCATTTTTAAGAAGGACTTGTACTAGTTTAATAAGAAATATTTAAAACTGCTTTTCACTAAAAGAGGTGGCAGATGGAAGTATAAAGCATGCAGTGTTTATTTCATGAAATGTCTAAAAAAATATGATTTTAATTGAAAAACAGCATGATGGTTCAAGGCAGTTTTAAATGTCAGTCAGTCAAAATGCCTCAAAATCCTACAAAAATCTGCATCATGGGAGATATACTTCAGTCTAAGCAGCCAGAGCATCATATTTCACACTTTCAGCCAGTCAAAACAACTGACAAACCTTGACTTTTGATTACAAAAAAATATGATTTTAATTGAAAAACAGCATGATGGTTCAAGACAATTTTACAAAATGCCTCAAAATCCTACAAAAATCTGCATCATGGGAGATATACATCAGACCTACCTAGATTTCCCATTGCCTCTTACGATTTTTCCTTCACGCACAATCATGCCATTAGTTTTAAGTAAGCCAAATCTCTTTCTAGTTTTGAAAGGTGAAATTACAAATTATATTTCAATAATGATGTAGTATATAATTTTAGCAAATTATTTATTTCTTAGATAATAGCAAATAAAGTGCTATTTTTAAATATAAAAATAAATATAAATAATTAAAAATACATAAATAAAAATGATTCCATCAGTTAATTAAATAGCCTATTAAATTTTTAATTTGATTATTAAAATTAAATTCCTTCCAATTAAAAAAAAAGCAGAAGCAGGTCTTAAATTGGCAGTTTTTAGTTACCAAACAATAGTCCTTATTGTTATTAATGAATCTTCATGTTTCTTACAGATAACAGGTTGACAGACACAAGTCTGCAGTGTGGCATTCCAAATGTTGTGTAGATAATTAGGTTCAAAATCTTCCAACGCAATTCAATTATTTAAGTTTTATCACCATTTGAACGTCATATGGTACTGCAGAACTGACTAACAATACTGCAGATGGCATTAAAAAAAAAAACAGAAGCAATTTTAGTGAAACCATCTTAAAAACGGATAACTAACTAAAAATGGTAGACTGATTAATTACTTCACCATTATCCATACTTCTACACATTTAGTATATTTCCAGTTTAAGTTTTATATATAATTTGACAAGATATAATAAGTTATTGGCTAATCTTTGGAATATGATAACAGGTAGTTTGGTAACATTTTGGTAAGGCGATAAAGGTTACTAGCTAAGACTTCAGCAATAATCTGAGAAGTACACAGTTCGAATCACAGATTATTTTGTCTCAGAGAAATGAGAGATCATGAGACATGTAATGTGACATTTTCCGGAAAATTGGAATCGTGAGTTTAGCTAATAAGCACTTAGAAACAATTTCGCTGCTAAAGTGCAGAATCACCCACTTACTTGTTTGGCACTTTTTACAAGAGTAAGAAGAATTGGATTTGTGTCAATTTTCGTTGACTTTTTAAGTGAAAATAGGTCGATGTGTACATGGATAAAGTCAAGAGTATGTGCAATGCCATTTTTGTGCAGTTATGGGATTTTTTTTAAGTGAAAATAGGTCGACGTGTACAAGGATACCGAGTATGTGCAATTCTTAAAAACGCGGCAAGCAGTGGGCGATTCCACACTTTCTCCCAATTTCGCACCTAATCTTTGTCATGATTAAGCACTTTTGTACCATAAAAGTTCTAGCATAAGCGTAATTCGGCTAGCAGATTATTGGAAAAAATGTTGAGTTAAAAAAAAAAAAAAAAAAAAAAAAAATAGCCTTTACTTTGTAAAAACAAAATGGCGTCCCCCCCAAAAAAAACTAGCGGGTTGCTGTAGCAGGGTTGGTCGCCAAATTTTCACCAAAAAATCGCCAAGTTACCATAATCAGAAGATTCACCAAGTTATTTTTGGAAAGCTGATAAGATAAATTTCCTCATATCAATTAATGGCAATTACTTTCATGTTTTTCATAATTTAATGGCTTATGGAAGCTATGCTCTATAATAGTAAAGTAGAAAAATAATTTACTGCTTGCTATAACTATTTACTACTGTTAAAATATATAGAATTGACAAGTTCAATATAGTAGAACAATTGGGGATTTCTAAATAGGCTATAGCCTATGAAGGAAAATTTTTCCGTGACCACTAAAAATGAAGTTTCGCTGAATTTCTTAGCTCTCTACTCGGTTCTCAGTAATGGGTGGCATGGCAACGGCAGCACCATCCAATTGTCTCACTCATGCATGGCATCGATATAATAATATCTGTCCTGGTTTCAAGATTCAGCGCAGAGTAGGAGCACACACGGCAGCCAAAGGCTGTGCCAGCTGCCTCATTTCCAGTATCATTCACAATTTTCAAAATTTAAATAAATACGTTTGAATCTATATCTGCAATTCACAAATACTATGTACAATAATCCATAATATAAATAGTGCCTACTGTAGGCTATAGAAGCCAATAATTTAATTGGTTATTTGAGATCAGACATCTAATTTGTTTGTTTTTCATTTTCAATGATAACGAATAAAGTGTTGATTTGAAAGATATTTTGCACACTTATACATTAATCCTATTACATCAAAATACATTAAATTATATCTCTTCAAAATTTATATTATAATAATTAGAAACAATGTGTTGCATAGTTTTTCACAGTATTTTTTACTATCAACTTCTTTTATCCATCTCAAATTCATTCATTTCAGTTTTACTGCTTATAGTTCGTTTTCTTTCTTCATTTTATTTTTTTGCAGTATGTATCTAATGTGTACAAATTGCAAATGGTAGAAAACATTTAGGTGGAGATGCAGAAAATCATAAAGTACCTTTTATCTAAGAGATAGCCTAGAAGATGTATTTTAGCAAATTTTGGACTTATGCCAAGTTATTTGTAGGTTCTCTGTTAATCTATAAACACTTTAGAAAACTGACATGAACAATGTATGCTTATTTCATGACTGATTATATAACTAAATATACCTTTCATAAAAAAAGGACATCTGAAGACTTGATTACATTCCTTCATTCACAATGAATTTTCAGTCAACTTTAGTTTTTAAAATAATAATAACTAGAAATCAAGAATTAAAATAGGCATACTTACAGTATCTTAGTGTTAAACAGTAATAATCTTTCCCCTTCCCAATTACCAGTGTCATCCAATTATGACTTTTAAACTTTCTATTGATTTATAATAATTTGAAATCAAATGTTCATATTTTGTTCATTTCAAACATAATACAAATATTCTTCTTCTGAAAGATATTTAAAAACCAAAGCGTTAAATATTCAGCTTCAAAAATTACACTCCAGGTTGCAGATATAATTCTTTGTTCATTAAATGACCTGATATTTTTTCCATGTTAACATGACAAGTATCACCAATAAAACTGAAATAATTAATTATAACCAAAACGTAATTCAAAATAAGATTTTCAAAAGTAAGCATTTCCTAATCTCAACCTTGAGGCAAGCTTTTGCATAGATAACGCCCAGTACTAATAATAAAATAACACAAAAGGCGGTGGAAATTTTAAACATCATAAAATTAATAATTATATTAAAGCAAATGTCCGTAATAAAAATGATATACGATGAAAACGTTGTCAAAAATAATTTTCAGATTTTTAAAATTAAAGCAATACGAAGCACGGTAATATTTATTTACATACCTACAAAATAACCAAAAACTTATCTCAAAATTCAATACACGAAATCAAAGGTGTCTGCTCTTTGAACCGGCACGGAGCTGTGTTGCCAGAAAAAGTACCAATATTGTGCTCCAAAAGTAAAATGCAAGTGAAAGGAGGTATGAATACAATAAGCTTTCATTTAAAATGAATATGATAATTAATGCACTAAAATGAGGAAAATAATAATTTATCATATGATTTGATGGAAATAATAGATTCTATTTACAGCAATAGATAATTCTATTCACAGTATTCTCTTCTAGACTGGCAATGAAAATATCGTGTATTTGGAGTATCAGAGCAGTTGAATTCTAAATGATGAATTAAGACGTGGATCTAGTGTAGCTACGTTTCGTATTTACTTTACAGCCAAATACCGTAGTATTTAAAACCAGCAAAGTGGAATTTTATTATTTTAGGCCCATTTCAACACAATTCATCTATGATTTTATATTGCGAATAACAAATGTGTGGGGCGCCCTTGACAAATTGGGGAAAAAAAAAAAAAAAGATGCTTTAGACAATGCAGTTCGATTATTAGAGTTTAGTTATTTCGGTGATTTCAGTTTGCGTTAATGTAATGATGCAGGCACATGAAATTAACACTTCGGCGAATAAGATTTGAATTTGGAAATTGAAACCTTTCAGCCAATACCGAAATATTTTTACAGCCAATAGAGAAATTGTGATCTGAAACTAAACAACTCTTAACTCAAATTTCATCTTAGGTGCGTTGCATTCTTCTCAATTCTATTTTTAGGGCTGGCGCCGATGCTGGTGCATCAGTGTAGTCGCACCGGGCGTCAGAATTTAGAGACGGCAAAATACTCTGCATCACATTATTATTAGCATATATTTCCATTGCAAATTCTTCCGACCCATTTGGTCTTTCACGATGTGATGGTCGTAATACATTTGTTTTTACATATCTTTGCTTTATTGTTTGCTATATAATCTAGTAATGCCACACCAACCTCATGGATCAATTTCACCTCCTCCCGCATATCCATTAAATAGTTTTGTTTTATTCCATGTTCTGTCAATGTTGCTTATTTTTTTAACAGGAATGTAGTCGATGCATGTTTAACAACGTTTAAAATATTTTTACTCTAAGCATTGCGCACAGTGAAGTTTGGATTAATTTTATGAGTTGATTTAGTGTCTTAACTTTACTGTTCATTGTAAAATACAAGAATAAAAGAATTGATCCAACTTCATTTAATCTTTATTTTATATTATTTAAATAGTACTTAATTATCGTTTAATCTTATCGCCAAGTGTCAAATGTATTATACAGCTTAAAAGTTGGGTTTATTCTCTACTTTTTAACTCATATTGTTTTATGAATTGCATAGCTATTTTCGATCCCATGCAATTCATACCGTAGAGAGTTTCACGCGTTCACCTATTTCATTCGTTAAAAATTGGGGGTTTATCAGTGTTGATTAAATGCATGTAGCTGTGGTGAAATTTCTGAAGTTTAACGAAAACCAAGAAAGGAAAGGTGTTCAGTTTGAAAGAGTAAAATTTTAATTAGAAGTTCAGGACTGTTTCAGACAAATACTGGGTTCTCTACAGTAGTTACGATTTAATTTGGAGGGGAGGAGCTTTGACTTTTATCTAAAACAACTGTTTTTGTAATTGACAGCTATTTGTAACTGAAACTTCAGTTCCGGGGGGCTCTTCAGCAGCCATTAAATACAGTGGCGTAGCTAGGGTGGGGGAAGGGGGGACATCTGTCCCTGGGCGCAGCATCCAAGGGGCGCCAAATTGATGTGATGAAATTGCAGAGTGAAATGTTTTCTGTTCTTGGAGCACAGAAAGAGGCGCAAAATCTTCAGTTGTCCTCGGGCGCTGAAAACCTTAGCTACGCCTTTGATTAAATATGACCATGGAGGCAATAATAAGTAACCAAAAGCATTCTGAAGTTACAACTAGTAGTTGCTTAGTTATCCATATGGAACTTCTCCTGAAGTTATTCTTACGTCGGAAGGAAAATTTTGACGTCTCATATTTCGGCAAAGCCACGATGTATTTACTCAAAATTCTGCTCACAGATTCAGGCGCAATCCATTTCCCTGACCTATTTCGGAAAAAAATGAATATTGAATGCAAAACTGCGATTATTCAATTACATGTAGTCTTGGAGATCAGTGCGCTTGTAATATTTTTGTGGCAGAATAAATTTCTCGAAATATTTCAAAAAATGAAATTAACACTTTTGTTAAAATACTCCGATAGCTGGCTTCGTAGTGACATTTACGCCACTAACTAAAGATCGTTTTAAATAAATATAGTATTTTAATGAATAACTATAAATAATAACTATATATAACTTAGTTTGTGTTCATATTAAACATTTTTATTAATCTTTTCGATAGTAATTCTGTTTTTAAGCTTGTAATATGAATTTCTCTGGAATCAGCAATTCTGACCAATCAAGTTTCGTATATGTGGATCAATTTTAGTAGAAGTCAGTATCGATAAAGTTGAAAAGAATGAACATTTATTGTTATTACTAATTTGTTACATCCGCACACGATCCTTACGGTGACACATGATTCCTTTGATGGCGCCATCTGGGGATTGTAAAATTTCCAATTACTTTATTTCCACTTAGTTCAAATACAACTTATGGCGAAGGAGTTAAAGAAGTGAAAGAGAATACAATTAATGATTAGACCGTCAATCTCGAAACGCCTGCTATTGTTAGCTGGGCCAGTTCAATATACGCAGGTGAGAGGAATAGAAAGGAAAGGTTCAGGAATGGTTTCCAACTTAAATAATTAGATCGTGGAATGGCTTTCCATGGGTACTAAGGAAAAAAGGGATATGCTAGCTGACTTATTCCCGAACCGTAGAAGGAGTTTCACTGCTTACTTTTTATGCTCTATATTTTATTGAACATTTTAGAACAGATATCAATTTATGAAACAAAAAACTATTTCGTAGAGAAATATGTGTTTGCAATGTAAAATTGCATGCTTATTTAAAATTTGCTTAAAGGCATAACGTTTTGGCGAAATTACATAATTTTGTTTATTCCAACGAAATTTAATATTTATTAGAACTCTTATTACGGTAAAGTAACAGAGTATTACATGAAGTTACAATATGTAACTGTAAAGTTCTTATTTACTTAAGGTATTGTAGAAAATTGTAACTGTAGAAAAAAAGGGGCAGACAATTAATAAGAATAATAAATAATATACTTACTAATGAAACGCTAGCTACCCTCACAAAGCAGGAGCCCGTTCATAGTAGGCGCTTAATCTCGGAACGACTGAAATTCCTTATACTCAAAATCCCTTTTCCTTTTTCCTCTTAGCTCATCCCTACTTTCATGTACCATACCTACATGAAAGTAGGGATTATTATACAACACTCATCTGTGTTATGAAATAAAATGTTTATGATATTTCTAAAATTTACTAAAATATGAGTAATTACATGAAGAAACACAGTTTTTTGTAAAATGTTTCTTATCGTTTTATATAGAAATACTTATAAAACAATCAAATTAATAAATATAACTTAGATTGTAGCTTAAAACCTAGTAAATAATATAGAAAACACTTAAGTGAAATTTAATAGAGATATCTTTAAAACATTTTGAGTAATTACATTTCTTGTATGTAAAAACACTAGAAAAATTAGTTTTCCAGAAAACGCATTTAAAGATTTCACATTAACAGAAAAACTGTTCTGTTGTATTTACACACTTAAAATTCTCCACATTTGTACATCACACCAACTCCATATCTTTTATACTTAAGTAATTTTGATTTCCTATTTGATTTTAAGTTTTTTTTTTTCTGGCTATTTTCGAAATGAGCGACGAATGACGTTTCGAGTTCTTTATTCTTTCGTTATCAATTCCAAAGTAATTTTTAATCATTTCTTGTTCAATTGATATGCCTAAATGTTCAAACACAGGAAGTAATCCAAGATACCCTGAATTAAAAATTAAAACTGCTATATATGCACCCAGCAACATAGTCTTTATACCTAATCGCAATGTTGCCAGACCCAGTTCAAAAAACCGCAATGTTGCCAGTCCCAGTTCAAAACATTAAGGCAAATAATTATTGCCAGAAACAAAAAAGTACCCAGAATTAAAATGAAATGTTTTAGCACAATTTTTACACACAAACAGGTAAAAAAAAACACGGATAACAACATTGTTTACCTTTAAGTTGAGCTTTCTAAACGGCACTTCCGGTCTTTCTGCTTTCACTCCCAGTGCAGTTAATTGGCTATATCTTCTCTTCTTCACTAATTACAAAAATGAACCATTTTCGGAATCCTATAAAACTGACCTTTCAAATTGGGCAATTAAAAAAAATCGAACTTTTTCGCCGAAATCGTTTTTTTTAGCGTAGGCGGATACCTTAAGTTTCCAAATGTTAAAAATATGCTTTCTGTAAGCAGTTTTATTATTTTACAGTTATAATCTAATAATCATGCAAAAAATTAGTATGTTCTGGATTAATATGCATAGGTTTTTCGGATTTCAGCAGCTATTTTCCTGCGATATTGTGCAACTATTAACTTCATCATTCGTGGCAGTCCAGCTAATTGGAATTAGGTAAAACAGAGAAAGGTTTCACTCGCGTACGAAATAAGGATACCTAGTGGTGATGAATACCAGCCAGAAAAGTTTCACACTTACCTCTTAATGTTTCAGCACTCATCTTGGATACCTCCATGACTTCAGCAAGTTCTTCAAGTTACTTCTGCATCTGCTTCTAAGCATCCCCAGGACCTGAAGCAAGCGTGTACGTTTGAAGCAGTCATGAGCTTCGCCACGTAGATAGATCGCATTAATCGCGACGCGATAAT